AGGCCCGGTCACACAGCCTTTCGCGTCTGTATCGCGGGTAAAATTTCGCGATTTTTTTTTGCCCGCGGTTGCCCGTGGTAAAAAATGTGCAAAATTGGCTTACCCGCGGTTTACCCGTGGTATGCCCGCGGAACAGACGCCGGCGACTGTTCCGCGTCCTTATCGCGGGTGAAGCGCGGCGGTACCGCGGCCTACCACGGGTATAATAAAGCTGCCGAACCGGGCTGTAGAAATCATAACCGCTCAAGACACAGTCCCGTGAAGATCAAGCTTTGGCTCCGGAGCACCAAGGATTACCATAAGAAGAAGTCAGCGTGGGAGATGAAGGCACAAGAGATCGGGGTCACGTTCAAGCATCTGCAGAACTGGTGGAAGAACGTTAAATCGCGCTTTTTATATACCTAAAATCAGACGTTGTACGGACGCGATTAGGCCGTGGACAATCGTATTTGGGACGTGTACAAGACGCAATTGAACGTGATTAGGCCGGTATTGGGGCGCGCTGTTCACGCGGAGAAAGGCGTTTGTCCGTGTTTACACGCGGTACACACGCTAATGCACGTGATAACAACGCGGTACAGACGCGGAACAAACGTGCTATGACCGTGCTCCACCCGCGATTACCCTCTAAAATTTCGCGTCCTACCGCGTGTAACCACGTCTTAACCAAGGCCGTAGCACGTCCTAGCACGTTCGTTCCGCGTCTGTACCGCGTCTTTACCGCGTGTGTACCACGTGTACCGCCCCCGATTAACCGCGGTCTAAATTTTTGGGCAGCCCAAAACTTTTTCGCGCGGCCAACCACGTGTGAATTTCTTACCGCGTGTAACGACGGGTAAAGTACGGCTGTATCGCGTCTTTATCGTGACCTCAAAGCGTCCAACAGCGTCTGCTTCACGGGCAGAAATTTTTGGCCGTGATTCGGCCGCGATACGCCCGTGTAGGGCTGTGTGACCGGGCCTTTAAGGTTGTATACATACAGAATGTGGATAATTGTATACATGTTACTATAGGTTGTATACATACAGAATGTGGATAATTGAGTTTATTGGTCATTTCAGTCATCTCCGTCAGAATGTTGATGTCCTCCTCCAATTGATCCGGGTCCAGCGAACTCTTCTTAATGGGTGGAAGCTGACCTGGAAACCCACATCAATCATTAAGACAAAAGGTCATTTCAATAAGATAATCAGTTAAGTGATGTGCTGAATGATATAATTAAACAGCATCTTCAACTCGGTTAATTACAGATAAATTCTAAAGCTTGTTCCTTGATATTAAATACATATATAGTCAAAATAGCTGCATTGACAAAATTGTTTAACTCATTCACCCCTGAAGACACATGTGAAATCTTCCAATTCAAAGGTTGGAATAGTTCATTATGAAATTTCAGGGGTCAATGACTTAAAGTAGTGGTGTTTCCCTCAACTTCAATTATATTTACACAAAATAGACCATGACACCATCCTAAAGTAAGTCCTGTCAGATATACAGCCAAATGACATTTGAAAATAGATCCCATACCTACAAAAACAGGTAACACAATCACATAAAGTACTAAAACAAGACTTACTCTTGACTATTTCTATGTTATCCAGTCCAACCCGCAACCACACCTTATGTTTAATATTTTCTGCATATTCATTTCCAGTCGGAGATTTCCTGTCAAAAAAAAACAAATACAGATAAAAGTCAACCCAGCAGCAAAGGTTTAGTGTCACATTTACAAGTGACTTACAGATTATATGTGTCACACTAGTACTTAAAGAACAGTGTCACACTTACAAGAGAACAGATATTTTATATGTCACATCATCAAAACACATTTTATGTGTTACACTAATGGGAGAAAAGAGATTTTATTTGTAATATTTACGGAACAGATTTTATGAGTCATATTTAAAGAAGGAGAACAGAAACTTTTTTGCGTAATACTTATAGAACAGAAAACATTGTTTGTCCACATTGTCTATGGGCCATTAAACAATACAAAAACAAAACAAACATTGTTTGTCAAACTTACAGAATAACAGAGACTTTACGTGTCACTGGTCCACCACGACGCTTCACACTGCTGAATATGACCAGGTCGGAAAATATCCATATACAGCATTGGTCCTTTCTTGTCTGTAAAATATAATTCAGCGATACAAGTACGGCATCAAACAACACATACTAGTATGGCATCAAACAACACATACTAGTACGGCATCAAACAACACATACTAGTACGACATCAAACAACACATTCTAGTACGGCATCAAACAACACATTCTAGTACGGCATCAAACAACAAATACTAGTACGGCATCAAACAACACATACTAGTACGGCATCAAACAACACATTCTAGTACGGCATCAAACAACACATACTAGTACGGCATCAAACAACACATACTAGTACGGCATCAAACAACACATACTAGTACGGCATCAAACAACACATTCTAGTACGGCATCAAACAACACATACTAGTACGGCATCAAACAACACATTCTAGTACGGCATCAAACAACACATACTAGTACGGCATCAAACAACACATTCTAGTACGGCATCAAACAACACATACTAGTACGGCATCAAACAACACATTCTAGTACGGCATCAAACAACACATACTAGTACGGCATCAAACAACACATTCTAGTACGGCATCAAACAACACATACTAGTACGGCATCAAACAACACATTCTAGTACGGCATCAAACAACACATACTAGTACGGCATCAAACAACACATTCTAGTACGGCATCAAACAACACATACTAGTACGGCATCAAACAACACATTCTAGTACGGCATCAAACAACACATACTAGTACGGCATCAAACAACACATTCTAGTACGGCATCAAACAACACATACTAGTACGGCATCAAACAACACATACTAGTACGGCATCAAACAACACATACTAGTACGGCATCAAACAACACATTCTAGTACGGCATCAAACAACACATACTAGTACGGCATCAAACAACACATTCTAGTACGGCATCAAACAACACATACTAGTACGGCATCAAACAACACATTCTAGTACCACATCAAACATAACATACTAGTACGGCATCAAACAACACATTCTAGTACCACATCAAACATAACATACTAGTACGGCATCAAACAACACATTCTAGTACGGCAACAAACACATACTAGTACGGCATCAAACAACACATTCTAGTACGGCAACAAACAACACATACTAGTACGGCATCAAACAACACATACTAGTATGGCATCAAACAACACATACTAGTACCGCATCAAACAACACATTCGATGCTCTAACCGGAATGGTCCATCATTTCATTTATGTTCATTCCCTGGAACCTGTTTGAACTTTGTTATACACAGATTTTCAGTTTGGTTTGTTTATGTTTTACGTCCTATTATCAGCTATATGGTCATTTATGGACGTGCCAGGTTTTGGTGGTGGAGGAAAGCCTGAGCTCCCAGAGAAAATCCACCGACCTACAGACCATTACAGAAGTCCCCCAAACTGCCCCCATAGTCGCAAAGATGCAAAAATACACCTACATACCAAACTTGAGCAAAAATGACCAATATCTAATTTCAACCAATCAGAGGCCGTGGCGGCCATTCTTGTTTAAATTGTTTTATTTTTTCTTGCTTTTTTTGGAATATGATAAAATACAGATTTTCTTTTTAAGGGTAACATCAATCATACAAGTGCAATTAGATACCAAGTTGAGCTTGATAGGGTTAGACTTCCACTTACCAGAATCTGAACCATGTCATGTTTGAGGTACTGTCTGTCTGGGGCAACCAACTGCAAACAAGAAATCAACATGTCAACATCAGAAGTGATGGAGATTGTTTACTCATCTACCCCATTTTAACCCTTCCAATTCAAAGGTTGGAATAGTTGATTGGGAAATTTCAGGGGTGAATGAGCTATATGGTTTCTGGTGTAGGACTTGTCATATATCATGTTACCTCAGAGGAGTAGTGCAGCATGTACAGTCTTAAACATAACAGAAATTATTACCTCACTTTACTAAAATATTTCATAGACCTTAAATCACAACAAAAATTCCACAGAGGTTGTGAATGTGCACCTGCCCCCACAGAAGGTATTCTGAATTTTAGATTAGGGTGAACATGAAACTTAAACAGTTAATTGATCACCACTGTTGACTTTTGTTTTATAGGCGACACAAAATTAGCCTTCAGTTCAAAAGTTTAATACAGATTTTGAAAATACCCATCTCTTATGTTATTATGCATGGAACTGCTTTCGGTTGATATTAGTAATTTGTATGGATGCCGACTTGAAATTTGAGTTCCATGAAGTAAACCAACTGAAAGCAGTTAAGTGCTTACAATTACCATTTTCAGATGATTGTTTCATGATTGTTACATTAGATACCGCTGACCCTCCATGGAAGATGGTTGGTTTTTTTCATTGAACAAGCATACACGGAATGTTCATTAATTTGAACTAAATTTCAAAGTTTTCATAAAACATTCCACAAATTGTTAAGTTAAGCATTGAACTGTGTTGATGTGGCATTCACAGTCTATATGAATGAAAGCATGAGTATTATTTATTTGTCTGCAAAGCTGTGTCATTCATATTGACTGTAAATGTCCCATCCTGACAGTTTAATTAATGCTTTTAATTGAGTATAATTTTTATGAAGTAGGATGGAAAAGGCCGGGATTCATGTTAAACATTGGCAGTAAATGTGTGTGAGGACTTACAGGGGACATGTCTGGGACAAGAACCTCAAGCTTCTTAAGTGTACTCTGTTGGTCCTCCTCAAGCTGGCTTTCATTGGTGCCCAGCTTGATTGCAAAGTTGTGCATCACCCGCTCTGCCTCCTTCAGTAGGGGGAAATCAGGGTGGTCATGGGGTGTGTTCTCTATCAGACGCTGAAACAGGAAACAGCAAATGTGCAAACGTAGTAAGAACACTGGGTGTGAAGGAACACGTTTTTTAATTCTAGAATCTACAATAAAACTGCATTAAGTATACACTGCACTAACTAATCTCATTATACGAAATACACAGAAATTTTGCAGCTCCAGCAGTTTCTTCAGGAATATCACAAACAGGAGCACTTTCAGTATAGCTCTCACTGGATTACTCATGTTCAATGTGTATTCATTTAACCCTTTCACCGCTATGTAACTTTAGTAGACTCTACCATGCGTTGATCTGGATGAGTCCATTATGGTCTACAGTGGTGAAAGGATTAACTTAACTTGAATTAATATGGAGAACTTAGTACACCCAGATGGTGACAAATACACCATTCAACTACACAATGGATAGTCTTACCTGTATGAGGAGTTCATAACGAGGAATTCGCTGGATGGGACGGACGATAAGATCCTTCATGGACAATTTACTTCCACTGTCTCTTTGGCATTGCTGAAACCGAGGAAGAAATACGTTAAATGGAAATCTGGCTATATAAACATACAAAAGTACTGTAACAGTGTTTTATTCAGCAGCAAGCTAATAATGTCGGTTACCAAAGACTTGTAACAGTACACAGCATTAAGCTAACAAGGCCTTGTCTCACTAAGTCTTGTAACAATGTTACATACAGCATTAAGCTAACAATGCCTTGTCTCACCAAGTCTTGTAACAGTGTTTCACCAAGCATTAAGCTAACAATGCCTTGTCTCACTAAGTCTTGTAACAGTGTTACACACAGCATTAAGCTAACAATGCCATGTCTCTCTAAGTCTTGTAACAGTGTTACATACAGCATTAAGCCAACAATGTATGTTACCACAAAGACTTGTAACAGTGTTACATACAGCATTAAGCTAACAATGTCTTGTCTCACTAAGTCTTGTAACAGTACACAGCATTAAGCTAACAATGCCTTGTCACACTAAGCCTTGTAACAGTGTTTCACCCAGCATTAAGCTAACAATGCCTGGTTTCACTTAGTTTTGTAACATTGTTACAAACAGCATTAAGATAACAATGCCTTGTCTAACCAAGTCTTGTAACAGTGTTACAAACAAAACTAAACTGATGAGGCCTGGTCTCACATGGCCTGGTTGCACTTAGTCCTGTAACAGTGTTTCAAACTAAATTAAGCTAACAAGGCTTGGTCGCACTAAGTTGTTACAAACTAAACACAGCTAACAAGACTTGGTTTCCTAACCAATGGACAGTAATATAATGAACTGATTGGTTAATAGTAACAAAAGCATTATCTCCAGCACATCTCACATACTGAAGAACATAACAAGAAACCATCTCCACTTCCATCACCGAGGAGGGTCATAAAACTTAATTCTCGACTCAGCTCTTCCGTTTCACACCCACATACATGTGTGTATAACCTAGTCATAGGCAGGGGATTTCAATATAACCCAAAATAGTTCTGGTAACAGACCAGACTCCTTCTCCTGCTCTTCCAACTTTACGAAGACTACAATAATCTCCGAATTTATTTTCAATCGTAAATCTACGGCTTCTAGATCCCAAATTCTCACACATTATTACATATACATGTCTATAATTGCATGACAAGAAATAAAACAAACATGAAAATAAGGTAAAACCGCTACAGAGGATAAAATGTTAGCTGTGAATCTGGGGACTTATACCATTATATAAGATAAATTCTACAAGAGAAAACAACATTTCCCCAAGGCATGAGGTAGGCCAGACGTCGACCAAGACATATCACCTTATCTCTTACATTCAACAATCAACACAGACTACAATACCAGGCTTGCAATCCCAACTGCGAAGAGAAACTCGAAATATATAATCCTATAATATGCTGCCACAATTTGCCCAGAAGAATTTTGTCATTTATCAAGGGAGATAACTATATACTGTAAAGGGATTCTTCAGAAAAAGGGAAACAGAGACTTTGAAAATACATTGGTGATAAGCGGCTTACATGAAATGAAGGTAATTTATTATATTGACGTTTTGCTCTCATTATTTGGACAAATGCACATGTAATCATGATCAGGTATAAACCTATACCTGGACCAATTTGTTCCTAGTTGGGATTGTATTTCAACAAGTTCACAAAATTTGTGTCTGGTTTTTTATTATTGATTTTTGAACTTCACAACCGATACTGAATGCATACATGATTCAAAAAGATAAGATCAAAACCTAAAACACTTAAACATCTAAAGCATCAGTCACACAAACATTGATACAGCTTTTTATATTTTTATTTCAGTTAGATTTGTTTTGAAAAAAAATTCATTTGGCATATATATATCAATAAGAATGCCATTTCCATGGTAGGATTTATTAACTGGAATGTACAATTAATTTTTTGTGACAATTGAATGAGCAAAAAACTGCTTGGTATCACACATGTGTATACATCTATAGCAAAGAGTGTTATGTCCTAATCTAGGTCACTGCAACCTTATCTTTGACAACATTAAAAACTACATTAATACCAATCTAAAACTTCATATTATAAAATTGAATACTGTGGAAATCTCAATGATCAGACTGGGTGTTTTTAGGTCACTGATCCAACTGTGGTATGTAAATCTACTTTGGTAAGTAGACCTTATGTGGTAAGTAACCCTTCTGTGGTAAGTAGATCTACTATGGTAAGTAAACGAGGTATCACACTGATGGTAATCCCACCATTACACACATACTTATGTCAAAATGTTCTCAGATTGTCAAGTCTTTCAAATTAACGCTTCATAACACGTATTAAGATCTAGTGTATATATATATTATAGGATTTTCTCTGCTAAACCATGGATGTAAAGTTATACTATGTTACGGAATACGGCATTCCATTACTAATTGGTCTTCAAATTAAAGTTAAGGTCCATGAAGCTCTTGGAAGTCCTGCTGAATTATTATAAAGATCGTTTTCTGTAACATTAATCATGGTAAGATACAGATCATACATTTAACTAAATTGAAATGGGAGAGCACTTTCCCGCCATCAATTACACAGTAAGAGAGAAAGATTACATCCTAACAATCTACATATAGAGGTCAGCAAATCTTTGTCACTCACCCCATAAACATACAGTAACACTTACAAAAAGCCCAATTTTCTCAGCTTGCAACCTGATATAGGTAAATTACACCTATAAATTGTATTTAATGAGCTCTGAGATGACAACATCGTCACATTGTGTTAACTATTTTCAAGTGTGAGCCTTTATCTGGTAACAGAATTTTCAGGCATGCAGTTATAGCTTCTTACCTTACTCAACTAGACAGTGATTACCCAGACACATGTACATACAGACTTAACATTGCACTTTTTAATCAAGTGAACTGAGTTCACAGTGTAACTCACAGTACCCAAGTAGACAAATTTAATACTTTGTCATCTTTCTCAAAAACACCAAGTCTAACCAAAGAAATGGAGCTAAGTGGGATGTCTTACCTCTCTGAGAGGAGGATATCATATATAGACCACAGTGACTTAAGTTTGATATACTGGTGTAGTAATCCCAAAGATGTATCCACACATTAGGTTTTATTAACTCATTCAATTCACCCCTGAAGTTTCATAATGAACTATTCCAACCTTCGAACTGGAAGAGTTCAAATGTGTTTTCAGGGGTAAATGAGTTTATATTGGATTTAGTTTGAGAGTAATTGAGCTAAAACTTAAGTCTAACTGGAGCTAGTAGAAAATATAGGTTACAGTGACCTACATTCAACATAATGGTATATCATTACTTAAGATGTATCAACATATGAATCTTGATGACTGTTGGAATTCTAGAATTTAAGTAATGGAAACAAACAGAGTCTATAACCAGTATGCTCTAAGTACTGACAAGACAAAAAAAACAAACACTAAATGCTTCCGTCACTATATTCTGGGGGCATTATCATATGGACAGGCATTTATCGGAGTAATTTGGGGGGTAAATAAATTGTCAATGATGTAGGAGTTTTCAAAAACTTATGCATAAATTTCCGGAAATGAAAAATATGACGGCCTCTTTGAGTAAATACATCAATACGAATTTGATCCTCCATTTAGATAGTCTATATCTTGTGTAATCATGGGCCAATATTTGATAACTTCAAAATCAGAATCCAGTAAAACATCATTATCACTACTAAAACTCTCATAACTCCTTTTACCACCATAAACAGACGTGGATACTGAATAAATACAGCAACTGAAACAAAACACCTTATAACAAATTTTGTAATCCAATCCAGCCAATTAATTATAGACTTGGATAGTCCATGGTCCATTGTTTCTATAAACCCTTTCACACTATCTTACCACTACACGTTAGATCTGTATAGTCCAGTCTGCTGTACCTACAACCCTTCCACACTATCTTACCACTACACGTTAGATCTGTATAGTCCAGTCTGCTGTACCTACAACCCTTCCACACTATCTTACCACTACACGTTAGATCTGTATAGTCCAGTCTGCTGTACCTACAAACATTCTACAGAACAAATACCTTACCACTATACATTAGATCTGTATAGCCCAGTCTGCTGTACCTACAAACCTTCTACAGAACAAATCCCTTACCATTATACATTAGATCTGTATAGTCCAGTCTGCTGTACCTACAACCCTTCCACACTATCTTACCACTACACGTTAGATCTGTATAGTCCAGTCTGCTGTACCTACAACCCTTCCACACTATCTTACCACTACACATTAGATCTGTATAGTCCAGCCTGTTGTACCTACAAACCTTCTACAGAACAAATTCCTTACCACTACACATTAGATCTGTATAGTCCAGTCTGTTGTACCTACAAACCTTCTACAGAACAAATACCTTACCACTACACATTGGATCTGTATAGTCCAGTCTGTTGTACCTACAAACCTTCAACAGAACAAATACCTTACCCCTACACATTAGATCTGTATAGTCCAGTCTGTTGTACCTACAAACCTTCTACAGAACAAATACCTTACCACTACACATTGGATCTGTATAGTCCAGTCTGTTGTACCTACAAACCTTCCACACTATCTTACCACTACACATTAGATCTGTATAGTCCAGTCCGTTGTACCTACAAACCTTCTACAGAACAAATACCTTACCCCTACACATTAGATCTGTATAGTCCAGTCTGTTGTACCTACAAACCTTCAACAGAACAAATACCTTACCCCTACACATTAGATCTGTATAGTCCAGTCTGCTGTTCCTACAAACCTTCTACAGAACAAATACCTTACCACTATACATTAGATCTGTATAGCCCAGTCTGCTGTACCTACAAACCTTCTACAGAACAAATACCTTACCCCTACACATTAGATCTGTATAGTCCAGTCTGCTGTTCCTACAAACCTTCTACAGAACAAATACCTTACCCCTACACATTAGATCTGTATAGTCCAGTCTGCTGTCCCTACAAACCTTCTACAGAACAAATACCTTACCATTATACATTAGATCTGTATAGTCCAGTCTGCTGTACCTACAACCCTTCCACACTATCTTACCACTACACGTTAGATCTGTATAGTCCAGTCTGCTGTACCTACAACCCTTCCACACTATCTTACCACTACACATTAGATCTGTATAGTCCAGTCTGTTGTACCTACAAACCTTCCAAACTATCTTACCACTACACATTAGATCTGTATAGTCCAGTCCGTTGTACCTACAAACCTTCTACAGAACAAATACCTTACCCCTACACATTAGATCTGTATAGTCCAGTCTGTTGTACCTACAAACCTTCTACAGAACAAATACCTTACCATTATACATTAGATCTGTATAGTCCAGTCTGCTGTACCTACAAACCTACTGCAGAACAAATACCTTACCACTACACATTAGATCTGCATAGTCCAGTCTGCTGTACCTACAAACCTTCTACAGAACAAATCCCTTACCATTATACATTAGATCTGTATAGTCCAGTCTGCTGTACCTACAAACATTCTACAGAACAAATACCTTACCACTATACATTAGATCTGTATAGTCCAGTCTTTTTTACCTACAAACCTTCTACAGAACAAATACCTTACCCCTACACATTAGATCTGTATAGTCCAGTCTGCTGTTCCTACAAACCTTCTACAGAACAAATACCTTACCATTATACATTAGATCTGTATAGTCCAGTCTGCTGTACCTACAAACATTCTACAGAACAAATACCTTACCACTATACATTAGATCTGTATAGTCCAGACTGCTGTACCTACAAACCTTCTACAGAACAAATCCCTTACCCCTACACATTAGATCTGTATAGTCCAGTCTGTTGTACCTACAAACCTTCTACAGAACAAATACCTTACCACTACACATTAGATCTGTATAGCCCAGTCTGCTGTACCTACAAACCTTCTACAGAACAAATATCTTAGCACTACACGTTAGATCTGTATAGTCCAGTCTGCTGTACCTACAACCCTTCCACACTATCTTACCACTACACGTTAGATCTGTATAGTCCAGTCTGCTGTACCTACAAACCTTCTACAGAACAAATACCTTACCATTATACATTCCAGCAAGATAAAAATGCAGCAACGATTGTGTAAATTTAGCCTTAAAAAATGCAATCCTGCCTCCCCTGTAATTATATTAATTATTATGAGAACCTCCTCGTAGCTCACCACACAGCTACAGTATATAGGCCTGCTTGTCTTATGGGGGTGGTCAGAATTATCTCAACCTTCATGCATGTACTTAGCACGACCAATACACAAATTGGAAATGATGATTTTGCATTTTTAATGGCATAATTACCACAGTAACAACCCGATTTGTTTTTAAAAGATTGTGATCTTTCCATTTTTGAAAGTTCTTTATTTTTTTGTTTTAAATTATAATGAACTGTATGTATGCCTGCCATTCAATTCAGTTAACCTAACAGGACTTTAATTTCCAAAATACTGACAAGTGTGTATACACATGGATGTGGGCTGGTAATGTGAAGCCTGGTTAGTTTACTCACCTCTAGAAACTTCTGCACCGAGGACTTGGTCTGCAGGGCATTCTCTATGACTTTCCCAGATGTTCTGTAGTTCTCCACAAACGACAGATAGCTATCAACCACCGTCTGCTTTGAAAACTGCAACAACAAAATATACCAATGAAATAGTTCTTTTAATCACGGTGACTATCCACATGATAGGTGTCGTAACCTTTTGACTACATGGGTACATCAATACCAGCCAAGTCTTTTTGTTCATCAGGCGATCGCTGTATGATCACAAAGAATGAATGACCGGGTCTGTCTTAGTGTGTTTGTGTACCATTATCACAGACAAACACTTGTAACAATTATACTTATTGCTAATGAGTGCGTAATGTAACATCAGTCTGACTACAACAAGCTAAGTGTCTCACATATATAACACTGTATAGGCTGATAAGACCTTCGATTCCTGGTCAAAAATAAAAAGATGAAATTTAATTTGAAGACTAACAGGTTAGAAAAAGCTTTCTCGTGTCTTCCTTGATGCCATACAACAATTGTTCAAGGAATTACAATAACAACTTAAAACAGTCATCAAGCTTATACCATTTAATCATCATAAAATGTTTTAGCAAATCAAAGAGCACTCTGGCCACCTTGAAATTTTGCATCTTTTGGTCAAAATTTCTTTAACCAAATAAAAAAAAGAAAAAATATTCAAAAATTTATAATGTTTCTAATTGTGTTAAGGGTACTTCAGATAGTTTGTGATATCAATACTTGTTTTTATACTTACTCACATCTAACCGTACCTTTTGGTTTGTTTAGAAGTACACTAATAATGATGCCAGGTATGATGTTCAGAGATTGTAATGTGACATTCATAGACCACAATGATGATGTAACTGTCAGAAACTTTGTAAATTGCTGAATTAACACATTCCAAGACTAAACTGATGTGACTTTGACACTAGAACAATGCTGATGTGATATTCGGAGACTAAACAAGACGCCCATGGGCCTTAACGGTCACCTGAGTCCTACAGTATTTCTTTTTGTACCAATTTGAGTAAAAAATAGTTAAGTATAATGCTAACTTAAGTTTGTCAGGACCGTGAGCTGATCAATCATAGACCAAGTTTCAGTTAAATCAGCCATTTAGAACTTGATTTTAATTTTGAATTAGTCTTTTTTCAAAATGGCAGCGCAGCCATGGCATGGCTGTCATATTGAATTATTGATTGGCCCAGGAAAAAAAAGAATGCTTTACCAGGATCATGAGTGAATCATTCCTACCAAGTTTTAGTTAAATCGGCCCAGTAGAATTGGGCTTTAAGTTTGAAATAGTTATTTCAAAACAGCGGCCGTTGTGGCTAAATTTGATTTCTGATCAATTCGAAAAATAACAACACTTTGTCAGGACCATGAGTCGATCATTCCTACCAATTTTCAGTTAAATCGGCCTAGTAGAACTTGAATTTAAGTTTGAAGTAATTTTTCATAATGACCCGGGCCGTGGCGGCCATTGGATTTCTGATCGACCCGAAAAATAACATCATTTTGTCAGGACCATGAGTCGATCCTTCCTACCAAGTTCTATTTAAATTGGCCCAGTAGAACTTGACTTTAAGTTTGATATAGCTTTCAAAATGGCCACCATATTGGATTTCCTATCCACCTGAAAAATAATAACACTTTGTCAAGACCATGAGTCGATCATTCCTACCAAGTTTCAGTTAAATTGGCCAAGTAGAACTTGACTTTAAGTATGAAAAAAAAAAAAAAAAAAATGGTGGCCGTGGCGGCCATATTGGATTTCTGATCGACCCAAAAAATTAAACAACACTTGGTCAAGGAGATGTCAGTAACATTCCCATCAAGTATCAATGAATACCCTTCGCCAGTATTTCAGCTTGAGTTGAAAATGTAAAATGTTAAAGCTCAGGTGACCTAAAAAGTTTAACTGACATTCAGAGATTGAAAAAGTTTAACTGACATTCAGAGATTGAAAAAGTTGAACTGACATTCGGAGACTGTAAAAAAGTTTAACTGATATTAAGAAACTGAAAAAAAAATGCCATTCAGAGTGATATGTCTCGCCTGTGCCCCGCTTTCACCATCAATGCACAGATCAGAAAAAGTAACTTAAACGCAAAAACTTATTATTGATGGAGATGCTGACAAAGTCAATGGACCATGAAAGGTAGGCCGCATCCAGCATTTGAGGCATGGGTTGAGATGACAACCTAAGATGCACATATGGGACAAGTTTGGTTGGTCTAGCACTTATATTTTCAGTGAAACTAACTTAACGAAAAAACGTAATGCTGACGCCGCTGTCGTCGGAAAAGCAACACCTTAGTCTCGCTTCCACTACTTCGTTGCGGCGAGACAAAACGTGACATTCAGAGACTAACAAAGTTAAATTGACATTAAGAGACAAGTAAAAAAGACAAAATGACATTCAGAGACTATTCAATGCTGATGTGTCAATTACAGATTGTGTAAGATTTGGTTTAACTTTTTCAGTCTCTGAATGCCAGGTTTTGTCTCGCCACCACGAAGTAGTGAAAGCGAGACAAGGTGTTGCTTTTCCGGCAACGGCGAGACAAAACCTGACATTCAGAGACTAACAAAGTTAAACTGACATTAAGAGACTGTAAAAAAGTTAAACTGACATTAAGTTACAATTAAAAAAGATAAACTGACATTCAGAGACTATTCAATGCTGATGTGACAATCAGAGACTGTGTAAGACTTGGATGATGACATTGTAAGTGTAGCTATGACGACTGTGATGTTTACGGTATACGTGCGATGTTACTGATGATGTTTAGGGGATACTTACAATGCCGATGATAATGTTTCCAATGGTGCTGGTCTTGGTGTCCCACTTGGCCCACACATTCTCTAGGAAGTCCAGGTAGATAGTATGGTGGGTAAGGATCTCCGGTATCATGTAGAAGATGTTGTCCACTATCGACTCGTCTATATTGCTCGACACTTTTAGCGGGGTCATGTATTTCTGTGATAATTCAAAATTGAACAACTTAGATTAATCTGAAAATCAATACATTCACAAGTAATTTTGAAAATCTCTAGCTTACTTTTTATGTTTTTTACTTTTGTTCTTACAATTTTCATTACCGGGTAACTGAATAAAGTTCAGACATATTATCAGTTGTCTTTACATAAACCTGGCAAGAAATACAGGTAGGGATAACAATGTCACTGCAAATGAAGAAACACTGTTTTCACTTCAGTAATCTTGAAAGTGGGCAATACTGGGTTTATCTGCTTATACAATTGTGCAAGCGACTTCAAACCTTAGTTGAAATCAGTCACGACAAAAAGTCACCTCTAAAGTTAAGCTGAATGGTTGCTTCAAAGGTCAAACTCAGATAGGTTGAATCAGAGCTCAAATGGGTTGAGCAACCGCCTCACTTTAGTCAAAGGTTGAGTTGAATAGAACTCTCTTAGGTCAAACTTAGAAGAGCTGAATAGTTGCTTCAAAAGTCAAACTCAGATGGGTTGAATAGACCTCCTATAAGCAGAACTCAAATGAGTTAAGCAGTCCCCTAACTTTAGTCAAAGACTGAGTTGAATAGCCACCTCTTAAGTCAAACTTACAAGAGCTGAATAGTTGCTTCTGAAGTCAAACTAAGTATAATTGAAAAACTCCCTCTTGAAGTCTAACTCCAACTCCAAAGAGTTGAAAAGTTGCCAGATTAGTCAAACTCAGACAAACTGATTTGTCTTCTCTATAAGTCCAACTGCAAGGAGTTGAACGAAGACCTACATGTACCTAATGTTGAGCTGAGCACCAGATGAGTCATATACCCCTATAAACTAGAACGTTGCCTGACCTTTTTCCTGGATTGAAGGAATTCAAGTGTTCCAAAAGTGTCATTCAGCTACGGCTATTAACGGTGCAAAGTAATAAAATACAGTGTCAGCCTTTTTTTTTTATTGTTTATATAATGAGGTATCTCCAACTTGATAAGAATTGCAAAGCAAGTGATTGCTGCGTAAGAGTACACTCTATGTATACATACAAAAGTAAACCCAGTGTGCTATGTTAGGCTACAATGACATAATCAGACACTCCTGGGGAGTCTCAGGTGGAGTGGACTGATTGTGTAACCTTTAGTTAACAGGCTCGAAGGGCCTGTAAGGAATTTTATGATATTTATATAAAGCGTATGATGTGCAGTCGTTGCACCCAACAACCCCCGGCTCGGAACATTTTTACAATCGGTGCATAATTATGTAAGAAATCCAGAAATTCCATCTACATAACCTTGTGCTGAGGTAATCACATTCATTTGATAAATACATATCTTATCTCTTCCATTTATGTACCGTACTTTTAGACACGTACAGCCCGATGAAGTCTTTATGAAACCGCACCATACCTACACAACCTTTAATTAGGCAAACAAAATTTTAATAAAATTTTAATATTTTTACATGGAGTAAAAAAAAAATACGTTAAAAAAAATGAAAACTCAATGTTAAGTAAGCCTTTTGATTGGTTCCTGACTGAATGTTAAGATACAGTGGGGTGGTACGTGGATCACCTCAGACTTGCACAGATACGTGTGGTTCCCTACGGATTGTGTATCTCCCCGTCGGTATCTTACAGCACCTAGCTTGAGACATGGTTACAGTGGGGCAAAAAACCAACAGACAAAATATTTATGTCGACAATCTGCTCCGAGATTTGCCATAAAACAAATTATTTTAACATTCATTAGCTCCTGTTGAGGCTGTGTTGTTCAAAGTAGAGAGCTCGAAATACAGCCCTTTTTATATGCCCGAACAAAATAAAACTGGACTGTTTTCTGTGTTTACCACGTTTCTCTACCATTTTTGTATAGTTGGCTATATAGTAAAATAATAAAATTTAGGAAGTCAGAGGCAATGTAGCCGCACTATAGCTCTTGTAGATTTTCCATTTCCCAATCCCCTACTTCACATTTATCTGCTTTGTTATTAATAGGAAGGCCTTTAACTCCTTCACCCCTGAAATTTCATAATGAACTATTCCAACCTTTGAATTGGAAGAGTTCAATGTGTCTGCAGGGGTGAATGAGTTAACAGTAGCTGTTATCTCTTACACGATAACAACAACACTGACCACAAAAATTGCAAAAATTCAAACCTGAAAGTAGACCTTGTTACGTTACACTGTTTTCAATCAGGTGAACATAGAGTGCAACTACAAAAAAACATTGGGTGACAGTAAACGTCTTGACATTTTATGTACATTCACCAAGTTTGTAGTTTAATTGAATCAGACTGTCAGGTAGGAAGATTGAGAATCGAAAGGCTGTTAAACTTGTGAGGACCTAAATGTAAATCAAAGGGTTTTCGCAAGCCATTCTTTTAGGAATGGGTGATCCATACATATATACTGGTCCATTTATAGAGATAAATGCACTTATTAGGTCAAATGTGATATACTTCTAAAACATCTTTTATGAATAGTAATGTTTGAACTCCATTTATTAAATTACAGTACCTGACAAAACTACCAACAGTAACTGTATTTGATACTAATGAAGTTTTACCTGTGATCTACCTCAGATATTAGTTAACTTAGTTTATGTTCAATTTTAGGATAAGCAATGTAAAAAGTCTGAAATGCTCTCTCTGTATATAACCTTGTTAAAGTAAATTTGTCTAATTTTCTTCTCAAGTTTTTGTGTACTAAAATCAAAATCAGAAAAATAACTTTGTTTGGCCTAACCAGAATATCATATGTTAATCCAAGGGAGACAACTTTTTAACAAATCAAAGCATTGATGTGTAAAGCAACATATACCCTTAAACAGTGTCTATTAATCCTCAAATAAACTGAAGGTCACTCAGACAATCCTATCCACACCTCACGGTGACAAGTACCCTATCTGCACCCCTGATAAACACACTTAAGAGATATCATGAAACTATGGGGTCAATACATGAAACGTACAGGTATGCTGAAATAGCTTTAAGCTGTTTGAGTGTAAAGTCAATTGGTGCCCCCTTGGAGTCACATTTATACCCTTGTGTAAGTCCAGGAGACAATCAATACTAACAGGCTTTGACTGATTTACCTGTGTATAAAATGGCCCTGTCATAGTAGAAAGGTTACAGGTATAACTTATAGTGCCTATTACATGCATTATTAAGTAACTTATAGACCTTTAAACAGAAGCCATTCTTATATCTGAAGTAACTTATGCTTTTTTTCCTTCTTTTGAAATTTTTAAAAGCCAGTGCAAAACCAGAACTTTAAGCTAAAGGCTTACTAATGCAAAGCAATATAGTCTCCCACCAGTAATGAGTTAATCATTATTTTATTAAAAACAAAACAATAAAATAACAAAAGAACAAACAAGTACTTCGCACAAAGGGGCATAACTCCATCAAAAAGGGTCAAAATCCCAAATTAAAAAGCCGGTGCACAACTACATAAGATACCAATCATTCATGCAAAGTTTGAATGAAATCCACCGAGGAGTTTTCCGGACAAGTTACTGTGGACGACAGACAGACATCCAGACAGACATCCAAACAGAGTGATTCCAGTAAACCCCCACTAACTTCGTTGCGGGGGTATACTCACAATCAGTCTAATATTGTTTGACCTTGTCATCACAAATTTAGCACCAAAACTTAAAATCAAAGAAACTGATATTTTCTTCAAACGTTAACATGACAAACTCATCTCTGTCATGTCAGCAATTAATGACAAAATTTCATCCCTCAATTGAATGGTCAGCCTTTTACTAAGGTAGGTAATTGTATATGATAGATATCATCTATTAAAGCCTTATATGGAAAAATATGGAAAATGAAGAAAAACACTTAAAGGTTACAATGTATTCACAGTGACCGAATGGGACAATTCAGTGATTATTGGTATGTATCTATAAAGACCTAAGTGACCTGGATCAGCTATTAAATAGTTAGTGAATAAATATTTTACAGGTACTTATTTATCTATAAAATTCCACACAATACAGTGGCAACACAACGCGACCTTATCGCCCCATTAATCCCCGTTATCACCTCTAAAGGAGACTGTAAGTGTGTTTTAAACCTAACCAAATGACACCCCTTGTCATACAAAAGTGTACCTGAATCTTGTCCAGTATATAGTACAGAGACTTAACAGGTATGTTGGCACTTGCCGGCAATTTGTTTTGCCTAGTCTTACAACCAAATACAGGCTGCCTCCCCAAAATATAGAAATCATGAATACCTTTCCAATTTCTGTATATAACTAGTGATATACAATAAATGTATATAATTTCCAAAGTCATGTAGGAACAGGTAAAAGATACTGCTTGCCACCTCATTGGGGATGTTTTGCAGCACATATTGAAACCACTTCTCCCATTTCTATTAACTTTTCAGTTATTTCTAATGCATATTTGTCATAAACAAGAGTCTGTTTGCAAAACATCTCACAATCATCACTGCGAAAAAAGGTCATTTCTATTCAAACAAACTTTATAGCAATAATGCTTGATAGTAAATGATACCCTAGCTAACCACCAGCCAAATTACACTTCTCTAGGCCTAAAATACCCTTAGAAAAAGTTCTGTACAGTGTTTTTAATCATTTGATCCCTCTAACCAAGAAACGGAGACCAAGATTATTTATTGGGGTAAACTTCATGATGGTCCTTTACTCCAGCATGCTACTGACCAAATATCATGACTCCAAGACCTATTGGTTTAACACATTTGACCCCCGTGACCTTGACAGAAGTGCAAGGTCACTCAATTTAATAAAGGTGACAGTCCTTTACCCAAGCATAAACAAAATGGCATGACTTTAGGCTTCTTGGTTACTATGAAAAAATAATTTTATAATTTTTACTCACGTGACCTTGAAAGTGGGCCAAGGTCATTCATTTGAACAAAGTTAATACATCTTCATCCCAGCAGGCTACTGGCTCGATTGAGTAGCCATAGGCCTCTTAGTTACTCAGTAGAAATTGTTTGAGTAAAATGAATGCTGCACTACTGAAGAAGCTTATGCCAAGTACACTGTATTACAAACACAGTAACTAACACAAAGAGAAAAACATTCATTAACTCATTCACCCCCTGAAGACACATTTGAACTCATCTAATTCAAAGGTTGGAATAGTTCATTATGAAATTTCAGGCGTGAATGAGTTAATGCAAAAAGGTTTTCACATGGAACATTTGCCAGTATCACACCCCTCCCTCATCACTTTGACATTCAAGACAACAATGTCTCATTTTCTCAGTCATATCATTGGTTCAAAATTCCTTAAAACTAGGTGTGACATCAGAGATGTTCTGGAACATCTCATCTTTACATGTACACTTATCAAGTACATTGCATTTTGGTGATTCCAAATCTCTTGAATTACCGTCGAATGACGTCAGTAGAAATGCTGTCCCATGCCCCTTTGATCCACTGATCATGAAGTGTTATCATATTGATGGTGCCATCCTGATCTCTGCCTTGGGTACAGCTCAGTGAATAATAGCTACTACATATATACAATTAAAATTCATCAGCATTAACTCATTTACCTCTGAAATTTTCATAATGAACCATTCCAACCTTTGAATTGGAAGAGTTCAAATGTGTCTTCAGGGGCACATGAGTAAATAATACTTCTGAAAATTAATAAATGTCAATTTCTTAAGCAATATCCTTTTGAAATTGGAAAATTATGCAAAAATAATTGGACATAGTTTGGATAAACAATGTTCCGTTTAAGTACATTATATACTCACATCTTTGAGTTTCTGCAACGCCTCTACATATTCTTTTTCATTGTGGTAAAACTCTTCAACAATGTGGTATCGTTTGTCCTGCAACAAAAAATTAACATTTCAAATATACATTTGACAAACAATACCTCTTAATTATTAAAATCAAAACTAAAACAAGGCATCACAAGTGATACACATTGTGACATATGTAAGAGGAAATAAAGTTGCTTAAGTTTTTTTCTAAAAAATTTGTAACAATGACCTTGACCTTCAACGTAGAACCTAGAAAGGAGAACTTGTTCAAGGCATTGCCATACCAAACACTTGTTTGAAGTTTCATGAAATTCCATTGAGGAATGAAGTCGATAGAGCGATGACAATTTTTTTTGTAAAAATAGTAAAAGTGACCTTGACCTTTAACGAATTGACCTGAAACCTGACCTTGTTTAAGGCATGGCCATACCAAACACTTGTATTAAGTTCATGAAATTTTATTGAAGTCAATAGAGAGATGACATAGAGTGTAACATATGTACATAGGTATGTACGGGCAGGCAGAATCCTATATCCCCTCAAACTTTCGTTACGAGGGGATAATAAATTGTACTTTTGTGTTTTTATTAATAACTTAAGTCATTAAATGATTGGTTTAAATAGTAGTTAATCACTAGTTATGTAAGCTAACCAAGTTTTTGAACTTGGAAGCATACCTGTTTTACATCTGTCTTGACCATTAATTACATAATCTTCAAAGTCTTGTGAAGAAACAAAAAATCTTAGCAATGCCAATTAAAGTTCCTCAATTTGGGTAATACGTGTTACTTTGTACATATGACGCAGCCAAGCATTTCAGCAGGTTTAAGTTTTGAGATGGCCCCTGAACATATATTTATAAATATCAGCTGATATCTGGAGCAGTTACAGAGACAGAACACAACACACAAGATCTACTCGCCTCACCAACTGCATTTCTCAACCCCTAATTATCAACACTGCCTCACCATTTAACGGCATTTGTTTCTCATCAGTACCAAAAGCAAACATATTCTGCACTGCCATTCCTCCTGTAGGGTGTTCACCATGGATTCAATGTTATAATCAGTAAACATGCAGGGAAGGTGCATTTTCTATGTAATGAAAACAAAGTTGGCCGCATCTATTTTAAGCTGCCACTCCCCAAATATAGCACCTTAGCTTACATGCCATAAAAAAGGGTATATGACCTTTGACCTTGACTGATGACCCTGTACAAGGCCACTGTACATGTATGTAGCATGTACTTCCTTATTTATATTTATTTATCATTATGGTCCAAATCTACACGTAGTCTCAGGAATTTTGTTATCAATTTCAGAGTTGAACACAGCATATGAGATCCATATTTGACCTCCTAATTTGACCTTGACTCGTCATGGTGACCTTTAAAAGTACACATTAATTGTAAATCAACCTCAATGTACCTATATCTACACAATAGTCAGATTTTCTAAAAAAAATCAGGGTGGACAACTGTGATAAGATTTCTGAACTCTGACCTTGGAATTCAATTGGCAGCGCTATAGCCCATGAATTAAGAACAATTCAGATTCCATTTAACGGAACAAACACAAACATGATATTTAAATCCCTTATACTTTAAGGAAGGAATAATCAAGTAATTACTAACTTTTATATAATTGATTAAATTTATAAACTGTATACATGCATGTCCATTTCTTACAGTCCAGTCCTCGTCTGGGAACCATTCATGTCACAGCTACTACAACCCATTGAAGTCCAATAACAAATACCCTACACACCCCGGTATAAAATTTTACAGTAATTAATCAGCTATTCAGAAGTTAGTGTTTAATGAAATAACAACGTCAATGATCAGTGGTTCTATAGTTTTTATCTTATAGCAATGGTTTAAACTTTGACCCTTTGTTGTGACCTTCACCTTTTCAGTAGACATGAGGAAAATAAATGACACAGTAGTTGTATATTTTTGTAATTAGCAACATATACTGTCTGGTTTTGATACATCTATTTTTTCTAACAAAACATCAGCCATTCAGAAATTCTGGCCTGCACAGGTATGACAATGATCTTGATGCGACCTTGACCTTGAGAGTTTGGACAGTCCTCACGTAATTTGAAATCATTATATACAATCCATCTATGAATTTTCATCAATTAGATCTAGCTGTAAACTCATCCATCCCTGAAGACACATTTGAAATCCTCCAATTCAGAGGTAGGAATAGTCCATTATGAAATTTCAGGGGTGAATGAGTTAACAAGCATATAGCCAAGACTTGAGGTTTGAACCCTTGTTATGACCTTGACCTTGGGAGTACCTTGGGAGTACAAAGACCAGAGAGGTACCGGACACATCCCCCAAATATAATATATCCATGGTCATCTACATTTATTTATACCCATATAATCTTAGAAATATATTGACTTAGGACTCGGACATGAGTGTGATAAAGTTGGACATACACCGTGTGATCCGAAACACATATAAATACGATACCAGTAACGAGGGATTAATATCTATATATCCATTTCCACACTGTGTTCACAACAAGATGACGACAACTTCAAAACTTCCATCGTTACATTTACATTACAGCTTTTTGAAATATAGAACTATTTTACAACAAAAGTAATACATAGAAAACATGTTTTTAGAATGTAAAAGAGTGATCTAAAACACTTTGAGAAGACGTGTAGATAAAGGGTGGAAGAAAGAAACAATGAGTTCTAGAGTATCTATTAAGACAGACGATCACGATATAAGGGAAACGAAAAAGAACTGAGAGATGGACAGAGATTTCAGAGATGGTATCATTGCTAATCTCCATGCTGTCCCACCACAATATGGAGGCCGGGCAGTAAACCACTTGGTTGGTTCTCTGTGAAGACTTCACCCTTAAATTTCACCACTGTAGACCATAATGGACTCATCCAGATCAATGCATGGTCGAGTCTACTAAAGTTACATAGGGTTAAAAGGGTTAATATATGATAACACCAAAACAGCTGTACCCAAGTGGATAAAAGAACATTACAGCGGGTTCAGCTGGGTGCATTCCCTCGTCCACATCAACAGCAGGTAGCACCTCTACCGAGCCAGCAGTGGACTGTGTGCATGTCTGCTGAATGGAGGGATTGACATTTTCTAAATTTCTGACATTCTTTAGCCAATGGTTTCTCAACTGGAGGTGTTGTGAGGAACTGATCGATTACCTAACCACATGCCTAGATTCCATCCGCCACATTTATCCTTAATTAACGGGTTCACATGCATGTCACCGCTGAAACAGATTCAACAGCCTTTTTTGTCTACAGAACAAAACAACTACATATGTATATCAGTCAGTAAAAAAACAATTGTAAACCAGAACAGAAATACACAACTGAATTGCAATATGGGATTAAAAATGACCTCCAGCTGTGTTGCCTTTTAATAACTTACAAGTATATAGATACTGTATATATATCAAAAAAAATATTGTTTAGAATCTGAAAGGTATTTTCAACCAAAGCTGGGGTTTTTTTTGTGTGTTTAACGTCCTATTCTAAATAACACCTATGGTCATTTAAGGACGTGCCAGGTTTTGGTGGTGGAGAAAAATCACCGACCTATAGGCAGTACCTTAAGACTGCCCCACATAGGCCTTGAACCCATGAACCAGTGATGGAGGGCTAGTGGTAGCAGAATGTCAGTCGTACACCTGAACCACTTGGCCACCGCGAAAACTATAAACTACTGAACTAGCCATTATGTGAAAACCGTAAGTTGGATACGAGTTGTGATTTTCATCTCTACTTCTGATTATAAATTAAATCCTTCTAAAATTTCCCCCCAGTGTTTGTAAGGATTTATTGACAGGTAAGGAGATTTCTCCCAAAGGGGCTGCAGCGTCCCAGTGGTTAACTAAGCCACCCCTGCAGACACATTTTAACTCTTCCAATTCAAAGGTTGGAATAGTTCATTATGATATTTCAGGGGTAAATGTGTTAAGGTGTCTGACCATGCATCTACAGTCTGATTTAACTAGCCCTCTACCACTAGGTCCTGGGTTTGAGGCCTACGTGGGGCAGTTTTCATGTCCCGGCCAGTACAAGTCAGTGGTTTTTCTCAGAGTACCAGGGGTAGAATTAACTGATGGTCCGCTGGCCTGTGGCCAGTGGTTTTCTGGGCGGACCAGTATATTTTTCAACAAGCTATTCCGCCGGGCCAGTCGATATTTTGCGAATTTCTCTGAAATTTCACAACACATTTTAAAAGCTTTGTTTTAAGCCCAGAATGCACCACAGAGCTTTTACATTTCAGTATTTTCTGGGAGCATACCTCATGCATACCCTTGTACTATCGAGCTGGCACTCCAGCCGACTCCTCGTTTTCTGGACCAGTGCATTCAAACAGGACCAATGAATTTTTAGTTCAACTGGACTTTTGGGCCAGCTGGTAACCTTTGTTTTTAATTTCACCCCTGGAGTACTGCAGATTTCCTCCAACACCAAAACCTGGCTAGTCCTGAAATTACTTAATTCAATCTCTTCCAAAGCCTGTACATATCGCTATGCAGCGGAGTTATCTCCCCTAATAAATGTCAGTTTATCTGCTCAAGAGATCTAGATCTATATATGAATACCTCTCCAGTCCCAATTTGAATTCTCTTCTAGAAATGTTCCACTTCCATGTGAATTTGTCACTTGTAGATGTGTATTATTTACTTGTTATCAGTAGATTTGAATTCTAAACTAATCTATGTGAATCTTCATTAGTAGATAGAAATTTTACAGCATAGGAATTCTCCACCATAGCTATACAAGTAAGTAGATGTGAATTCTTCCAGAAAGCAGATGTGCATTTCCTAAATAAAAATAGATCAGGTTTTTTTTTTCACCGCTAGATGAGAATTCTATCTGCAGTGTTTCATTTATAAATTTTCCTATTGCGGTTTCAAGACTCATGTATTCAGTCTCTTATCTGATTTCTTAATTTACCGGGTTGTAAACTAAGTCCCATTTATCTATACCTGTCACTTTTAACACAGCTGTAACTATTTAGTTCTATATTTTGTACAAAATTGACAGCACAAAAA